TCTTGATGCATTCCTGTCAAAGGTCCACATGCAGGTCCATGCACATGCATTGACTAACATTAATGCAGTTTCATATGAATTGATTAAAAATTATACCCAGTTTGTGTCAGCAGCTACGAAGCGGGATAGGGCGATAATTAAATTATATTTATCACCAGAGGGTATTTTTTCTGTCGAAACACTTTGTCCTGCATGCCTGACTTTCTTTTCTTCTGACTTTCTAATATATGAACAACAGCTGTTCAATGATATAACACTCACATGAATCAGCGACATGCAGTTCATTGTATATTTTTATTTCTTACTGTACATTTAAATCTTTTTAATCTCCTAAAGGGAATCTTTTTTGTAAATTTTATATAAGATTTTGGGTAATAAATATGTTTAGATAAAAAATGGTTGCTCAAGTGATTAAGTACTATTTAAAGCACGCGTAGGAGTGTTTTATCACATATAAAACACGACGCGTAGCGGAGTGTTTTATATGTGATAAAACACGACTACAAGTGCTTTAAATGGCTTAAAAAACGACTCAGCTTATACGAGTTGATTGGCGAAGTAATTTTTGAAATAAACTTTGTCTAAACCGAGAAAATCAAAGCTAAAGTTTATGTAAATTAACATGATTTTATATCACATATATAACCACGACACGCTTATGATTTTTCTTTGTGTTTTGCTCCTGAATTATTAATGAGTTTTTTAATTTAGTATAGATACTAATTTCAAACTATTCACAGTTAAATATACAAACTATTTACAAATATAATTGTTTTTGTTTGTGGAAACACCACGTAAATTTATTACTGCAAAGCTTTCGATCCGTAAGCCCGGATCTTCATCAGTGCTAATAATGACATGTCATTATTAGCACTGATGAAGATCCGGGCTTACGGATCGAAAGCTTTGCAGTAATAAATTTACGTGGTGTTTCCACAAACAAAAACAATTATATTTTATCGCCATGCAAACATTCAAAGAACTTATTTACAAATAGTTACTAATAACTTACAAACTATACATTTACAATTTAATTTACAAACTATTTACAATTTTACAAACTATTTACAATTTAATTTACAAACTATTTACAAATAGTCGCTATAATAATTTGCAAACTATTTACAACTTAATTTACAAACTATTTACAAATAGTCGCTAACAATTTACAGACTATTTGCAATTTAATTTACAAACTAATTACAAATGGTTGCTAACAATTTACAAACTATTTACAATTTAATTTACAAACTATTTACAAATAGTTGCCAATAATTTACAAACTATTTAGTACAATTTAATTGACAAACTATTTACACAAATAGTCGCTAACACTTACAAACTATTTACAATTTAATTTACAAACTATTTACAACTAGTTCCTAATAGTTTATACACTATTTATGGGCCGACCATTTAACTTTTGAGGGGAGAGGAAGATTTTGAAAAAAATTTCCTGCAAGGCTATTCCGAACGAATAAATATACCTGCACTAACAAACTGGGGAAAAAATATCCTGCCCCAGTATTTGGTGGGAAAAAAAATGTTGCAAAACAGCATGGTTGCAGGGATCGATTTGACCAGTTCGAGAAGATCAGCTGGTTTGATTTTCAGGGACTAGTGTAAGGTTAATTTCTTGTTGGAAAACTCCTCAAAATGCTGGAAATAGCTTATCTGAGCTTGAAAAAATCCAAACGTTTCTGTGGGGGGCATGCCCCCAGACCCCTCTAGAGGCTCGCACCTTCGGTGGTCGACTCAGTTTTCTCAGAGTCCTAGTTAAGCATGGCTAGCTTGAGTTGCTGCCTTATGACGTATACTTATTAGTTAAACCATGCATATATATGCTGTTGGTAGCTGCAGTGATACAGACAGGGCTGCAGCGAGGGGGGGTTGGGGGTTGTGGGGGGGGGGGTTAACCCCCGGACTTTTTTAGAATCAACATATTCCGAAAATCGGGTTGGCCATTCGGAAAATTACGGCAATAATAGTAGAACAAAATTCTAGTTGTTAAACAGAGAAAATCATTATAAAATTGTATTTGTCACTATAAATTGTAAGCAAATTGTAAATTTTGACATACTAAAATGCTTTTTTCTGACCATCAGCATTTTGTCAAAACTTCCCCAAAGTCCAGGAAATGGCATTTCAAAGACTCTAAATGTCATAATTTCCTCGGGCCTCCGGCCCTCGTTTTCTGCCCCCAATAAACAAAAGCTCCCTACCGCACTGCTTCTGTAATATGTCTGTGCGTAATAAAATATGCGTATTTTTATACATCGCGTCTTCATTTTGCGAATAGCAAACACCTTCGTGGCTTAGTATGCCATGATATATTCGAAAACTTTTTTCGTCATTCGGAAATTTTTGGCCTACACCCCATACATGCTAGCTACGACCCTGGATACAGACTTGCCGACTGGAACTTGTCCAGGTCCCCCGCTAATTATGTCCTCTCCAGTTACACATCCTTAAAAAAGGCCCTGAACCAAATGTTATACCTCATATATAGCAACATATATTATTAATAGCAATGCATGAAGCTAGAAAACTCAAAGTTAACTATCATTAAAGAATCTAAATAGTATAAGCTATTGAAAAAAAAATGCTGCGAAAGAAAGTGTGGCAAAACAAAATCGTACATGGTGATGGGATAAAAAAAATATCTTGCAGATAACGATCCCAGAAAAATATTCCCTGCCAGTAGTAAATCCCCCCCTCAAAAGTTAAATGGTGGGCCCCTTACAATGTAATTTACAAAAATTTGCAAACACATGCCGATAATTTACAAACTGTTTACAAATGGTTGCAGTGATTTACAAACTATTCAGAAATAATTGCCAATGTTTTACAAATAGTTTACAAACAATTTACAAATTAGTTTTAAATTTACATAGTTTGTCAATGTACATTTAGGGGCTGATTACATGGACAGTTTTCAGCCCGGGCTGAGTTTCAGCCCGGTTTCCCGGGCTGAAATTTCAGCCCGGCCTAAGGATAAAATCCTATCAAAACACAGCAAGCGATTACATAACCAAAATTCCAGCCCGGGCTGAAATTTCAGCCCGGTTTGAGCTGCTCGGGCTGAAATTTCAGCGCGGGCTGAAACTCAGCCCAGCATGCATGTAATGCAAATAATTTCAGCTCGGGCTAAAAAACAACCGTTTAAATGGCTTTATTTTGCGTGTTTGTTTCATTTTTAAATGCTTTACATATAACCACAGTCTCACACAAGTCAAATAGTCGACTAATCAGCGTCTGGTTGCTTCAAAGAAGCGTAACACGCTTATTGTCCTATTTCGTGACACTCAGATTATTTCAGCTCGGGCTGACATTTCAGCCTGGGTTGATAATAAATATATATCTGACTAAACGCAGCCCGTGTTGAAACTGCTCATGTAATCGTGATGCAATTTCGACTCGTTTAACCGGGCTGAAACTCAGCCCGGACTGAAAACTCTCCATGTAATCAGCCTCTTAGTGTGTAAATGAGATTTACAGTCTATTTACAGACAGTATACATATATTTACATGGTATATAATTAAATTAATGGGCGAAAACAAATTTGTCATAGCCATTTGGGCAGGCGTTTCCTCAAACGACGCCCTCTCTTCTCCCGCCGGCACTAAACGCCTGCTACGCAGGCTACTCGCGTGCATGGCAGCTAGCTTATAGCATGTTTCTCTCTTTTCATGAGAAGTTAACCTCTTGAGGCCTTGAGGAAAATATCTATCGTGTTTTATATTTTTCACCTCAATAGGAAAAAATCTCAACGTCTGCAGATGCTGCGAGCTTGGTGTTGAGCTGCTTAAATTAATTAACTAGCCAATAAGAACCCAAATTAAAATGGCGACAATGGAGAGAAATGTGATCTTATCGACGAATTTGCCGTTGAGTAGTTTTTCCAATGTGTGCGGTGAAAATGCATTTACTGTACCTGAGCTAGCGTCCACGCGAGGCGGTTACCTGAGCAAGTTTTCTTTCGTGTGCGGCAGGCTTAAGGCCGTTTTCCACTAGGCGAAATTTCGCGCGTGCGCGGAGCGAAATTTCTCTTTGTCTTGTTATTTCTCAGTTGGAACTAATTAGAAAAGACAAAGAGAAATTCTGCTCCGCACGGAAAATTTCGCTTAGTGGAAAACGGCCTTTAAGCTTGGAAATACGGCCTTTGTAGCCGGGCCTAAAATTACTTCACATATAGATTGCGTTCACTCTCAGGAGCGCTTTGAATACGACGCAGAAAAGTTACAATTAGCCCTCGCGTTCACACAACGCCGGAGTGAAATTGTTTGAAAACATCACTTTCGCAGTAACAATTTGAGCACGGTTTCTAAACGGAGCGAGATGAAAACGGAGAGCTTCGCGGCTTCGTGTGAACACAAACGCCGTTATTTTTCCTACCGCTTGCAAACCAAGCATCTCAAGTCTCACTGACACAATAAATTCGAATGCTTATCGTATTAATTTATTTGCTCTATTTGAAATATTTTGGTTTTACATTTGAGTGCTAATTTAATTTGTAAACAAACTGTAAAGCCTGGTTTCCATATGGTCGTAACGGTCGTAAACATTGAGTCACGATCTTTCTCTTCAGCCGAAATACAACATTTTAGAACTGAAAATACGCGAAGTGATTCTAACTAGAGAATACTTATGATTTATATATAGTTTACATGTATAAATGATTATAAACTGGCCGTTGAGAAAGATCGTGACTTTATTTTTACGACCGTTACGATCATAAGGAAACCATGTAGTTAGGCCTATTCCCCGGCACACGGTCACTGTTCGTATCTTGCAAATAATTATGCGTACGTATAATTAATAGAATTAAGCATTTAATATGAATAACATTATTCTGGCTATAGAATTTCATACTTTTTGTCCCAAGGGAGCAGTTTCACCAATCAGAAGTTTGCAATGCAAACCAATAGATAAGTGAACTGAGAACAGTTTACTTCCGGAATTTTGTTACAGCCAATTGGGAACGAGACTTATTTACAACGTCGAAGGTATATGCTTGCATTTCCCACATTGTACGGAAAAGTCGAGGTCGAAAGAAAGGCTAATTTTTGTCGTATTAAATTCTTTAAAGATATCAATTGACTGGCTTTTTTATATTTGGTGAGTAGAATGTTTTTGTATGAGTATGTTAAGGATATTTATCGCCGTTTTTGTTGGTTGTAAAGTTAAATATTTCTCGAACTCCAAATTTTAATGGCTGCATGGCCCACCCAGCGTGTCAGCCGCCTCGCGCCGTTCGATGTTTGGCGTCTTTTCTACGCTAAAACTTACGTTTGAACAAAAATTTTGTTGTCTTTTGCACTCCAAATATTTCATAGAGTGTTCTAACACGAATAGGTTATAAATTTACTCGCAATTCGATGAAAATTTTCGCTCAATGAAAGCATTAATGTTCGATGACAATTAATGTCGTGCAAATTTGTGTTGTGAAATTGTTCAATCATTTTAATGAATTCTCGTTTTGAATCTTGCTCAAATTTAGACATTCTACTTAGATACTTCACTGGAAATTTAAACAAGCTTTCCTCTTAATGTTGTACTTTTATATTTATTTAAGCTGATATTCTGAAGGCCGGCTTTGAATCGTGCTTTAAACTGCCTTCAAAAGGTTGTACAGAAAACTATATATTTAGTCAATTTAAAGTTTTGCTCACAAAATTCTTGGTTGGTGTTTGATTGTGCATGTATGCTTTGAAATTTAACTGACATGCCATTGAATTTGTGGAATACATAACGTAAATCATTTATAAAACCAACATTTTTACCAGTTCATTTTCGTTCTAAATTTCTAAGTTGAATTAATATTAGAACGTTTCTCCAATTTTGTAAAAGGTACAAATCAGCCAATTTGAAACGAATTCTTCATTTCATGATCAAAATTTCAAAACGTTTCAGCCTTTACTTGAGCCGAAGGTGCATGGATGTGGGATGTAGGATTTTGGGCATTTCACTCGATATTTAACAAATATAAAACATTTTCCGTGTTGATATACAGTTATATCAACACGAGTGGAATTGGGAAAACGAGAAATTGTATGGAAACACGACGCCCGAAGGGCGGACTGTTTTCATACAATTTCGAGTTTTTCCAACTTCCACGAGTGTTGATATAACTATATATCAATACGGAAAAATGTTTTATATTTTTTTTATAATATAGCAATGTCAAAAGCCCGAAGGATAAGAAAAATTTCCGTGTTTACAAGCGGCGGAAAATTTCCCGTGTTGACATAGAGTTATATCAACACGGCTCTTAGCCAATCAGCGTTCAGAATTTACAAATGCTATATTATAAAACTAATTGTTGAAGAGATTTGTAGATGGAAATTTCGAATAGAATTTTTATACATTTATTACAACAAACCAGGAGCAATTGCGAATTATTAATTATATAATAATATACATAAAGATATTACTCGACTGTGATTGGTTGATTTCAGTGCAGTTAATCCCAAACAGCAGTGCAATTTTCTGTAATCACATTGCAATTTTCTGCAATCACAGTGCAATTTTCTGTAATCACAGTGCTATTTTCGCAATCACAGTGCAATTTTCTGTAATAACAGTGCAATATTTTGTAATCACGGTGCAATTTTCTGTAATCACAGTGCAATTTTCTGTAATCACATTGCAATTTTCTGCAATCTCAGTGCAATTTTCTGTAATCACAGTGCAATATTTTGTAATTACAGTGCAATTTTCTGTAATCACAGTGCAAAAACTGTAACAAACTGATCTGATTGGTGGAAAACTGATTGTGACGATTAAATCAACCAATCGGTTTAAAGCAGATTAGTTTAAAAAAGTAACGGTCACTGATTGCTTCAAAACAAAACAAACATGGCGCTGCGCTACATGAAGTGAAAGTTGACTTCGGATGAAAAATATGGCTTTTATATCTTTTTTTTTTAAGCCTTTGCTTTAAACAAAACTAACAAAACTTACATAGTTGAGTGGAATTTTCAAACTGTTAGCGTTGTATAATGTAATATAACAAAGCCAGGAAAACTTTGCTATATAAAACGTAAGTTAAAACTACAACTGTTTCGAACATTTTTATGCAAATTATTAATATTAAGTAATAGCATGGTTTCTTGTGAAATTTGGATAAAGATGCACTCGTCACTTTTTCAATGACCTGAAATAGCACTCGTCTTTCGGACTCGTGCTATTTTGGGGTCTTTGAAAAACTCACTCGTGCATGTTATATCCAAATTGCACTCGAAACAATGCTAACCCATACTAATAACTACAGTGAAACACGCAATTTGATTGGTCAATACCCGTGCAGAATCAGGCTATCCTGCACGAGGAATTAAAATGCTTAGCTTCGTGGGATGTTCAAAATGTCATTGTTTCACTATAGTTATTTTATAAAACAATAACCAAATAGTTTTCCAAGCAGCATAGCGTGATCCATACACTTGCGATGTTGCTCGACTTTCGTAAAGCGTAAAAATACACTCGCTTGCGGCTCGCTTTTATTGATGCTATATAGTTTCTATTGTTATACAATTTGCAGTATAAAATTTTAAAATTGATACTTCATACTGTCCATTCTCTTACTTAAAAGTATATTTTCTCATCTGCTATAAAGTTCTATATTTCAAGTTCTATATTTATCATGAACTTCTTCAAATGTCATGCGAAGCGTATGTGGCTCAATTTTACAATTAAATTGAAGTTTATATCATCTATAATAACATACCTAGCGGATATGTTTCAGAACTTGATCATCTTGTAAATTAAAAGTGATAATTTCAGGCAGTTTTTTCCAATTTAAAAGAAAGTGTACAAAAATAATAAAATGATCCTGTTACCATTGGAACTACTTCAAATATTTTATGTTTGGAAGATGTGTATATAGTAGTTTTGCTAGCTAGACGAGAGGTTTCTGCATATATGCACGTATTTCTGGTTTATCTATATAAAATCAATACAAATCATCTCTTCCACCATGAGCCATGTAAGATAACAGCAAAAAATATCGCAAAAATATTGGTAAAGCGCATCAACCTTGGACGAGAAAGAAAGTTGATTCATCATTCATGCATTAATTTACTTGAGTTGTTGGTAACTGTGAATTCAGTTTTTGTCCATTGTGCTGCGTATACCCTACTCGAGCTCAAACATTGTTTTTCCTCTTTATCATGTATCTAAATTGCATTAATACCACCGCTCTTTCCGCAAACAATCATGCATAAGTTAAGTTATGTGAATGTTAAAAAATTACTGCAACTTAATTATTGCATCTTTTTTACTGTTTTTTTAAAACCACTCAAATCTCAGTTCTTGGGTTATAATGGCTGCATCTGCTGTTGTATCAGTGACCTTAGGTTGTTGTATATATAGAAACCTTCGCGCAACTGGCTCTTGTAACGGCTCTTTAATTTCTCTGATACAATTTAGAAAACCAGAAAACATAAAGCAGGAAAATCGTCTTTGAAGTTAGAACCTGCAGATTCGAAATTAGGACCGGCTATGGATACGCGACCACGAAAATGCAAACAAAAGGCAGAAGGAAAAGAAGGTACAGTTAAAAAGGTGAAATCTATTATTTTTTTTCTTGTCTGTAGTCTAGACCTTTCTTCAGAATCATAATGAATGGCAAACTTAGCGGTCGAAATCAGTCAATTTTTGGCTTTGTATTTATATATGTATTGTTTAATTGCTGTTTATCTTGGTAATATGAGCTGAGCTTCAAAGGGTGTGTTGTCCAGCTATTGTTGTTGAACGATATAACATGCATGTAGCATTTCTGTCTTTTCAGCCTCATTTGGGTGCTGTTAAGCACTCTTTAAGTTTAGTTGGTGTCTAAACGCGATAAACATATACTCTCTTAACTATTATTTGTACAAAATTAACTGCAGGCAAAAATCTATATTTGTAATAATTTGTACGTCAAATATTGAAAGTATTAATAATTATTTTCTGGAATGTCCAATATTTGATGCTAAAAGTCCGAAACTGTTCGCCTCTACTGCAACAATATCTAATGAAAAATGGCCTTATTGTCACATGAGCAATAAGCTGATTGTACAAAATTCTGTCTAGCAATCAGGTAAACTTTGTTTACTTTAGACATCAACGCGAGACAATATCTTATGAAAATTCATCAACCCTTGTAAATACCGATATAGTTATATCACGTCAGAACATTCTTAATTTTAAGACATTACGTCATTATGCTGTCAGTCACGTCAGAGCATTCTTAATTTAAGACATTACGTCATTAGGCTGTCAGTCACGTCAGAACATTCTTAATTTAAGACATTACGTCATTATGCTGTCAGTCACGTCAGAACATTCTTAATTTAAGACATTACGTCATTATGCTGAATCATGCTTTTGCTATATTTATCGTTTATGTAGTATCAAAAAATAGTATATATGTAATGTTCTATAAATATCGTTCGGACAGTATATAAGCAGCGAAAGCTTAAATTAGAAAAAAGATTAGAAAAAGGATTAGAAAAAAGAAGATTAGAGTACAGTAACTGAATAAAGTTGTGTGTGGAAATTGTTGAAGAACTTTATAACACTTAGAACAAGGATATTCCAAATACGAGAAAGCCTCGTTGGCCAGCGCATCTCGCAGATGTATTTCATTTTTGCAAGCTAATGTAAATTTCAAAAGCTTTTGAGGAAAAAAATGTAGAAAAATCGGCTAAAAGAAGGATGCAAAGGCGCCGACGTCAACGCCAAGGTAAGTTTGTTTAAATATTGATGTATTGTTTGATATTGATATATATTGTTTGATATTGATATATATATATATATATATATATATATATATATATATATATATATATATATATATATATATATATATATATATATATATATATATTTATATATTTACGTAAATATATATATATATATATATATATATATATATATATATATTTACGATTCCACTCGTGTAACGTTATGTAGTGGTTTTTGAGTTGTTTTCATACGAGTGTATACCAAACCGGGCAAGCAGAAAATTCTACTTGACCGCGGCTGGGATTCGAACCCGCGACCTTCGTATTTCTAGAACGATGCTCTACCGTCTGAGCTACAAGGTCAAGCTGAGAACGACGTGTTAAGTTATGATGTTAGTCGCATTTCGAAGGTTAGTCCTTCAATGCGTAAAGCCAGTCAAGTAGTTTTCTGCTTGCCCGGTTTGGTATACACTCGTCTGAAAACAACTCAAAAACCGCTACATAACGTAACACGAGTGGAATCGTCAACGTGGGAAACCACAACATTCACATACAACATTGCCAGACTAATAGCTGGCTTTACGCATTGAAGGACTAACCTCCGAAATGCAACCAACATCATAACTTAACAAGTCGTTCTCAGCTTGACCTTGTAGCTCAGACGGTAGAGCATCGTTCTA